TTCTGCCCGAGAAGGTGGGGAGGTGGCACGCTGGCCTGCGGTTTTGAACTCTGTCATACACACTTGGCGGCCCTTCACTTGCGGAGGCATGGGCTTGAAAATAACATCCTTTGAGTTCTGAGTGTTCTGGTTGGAAACTCATATTTCTCAGCAGGGAAATGTGAGGGCAAAGGGTACTTGAAGCAAGTACAGCCTGTAGCTGTTTTCATGATGTGATGAAAGGGTCTTGATGCCTTGAGATACCTAGATTAATCTTTCAGGATGCTCATATGTTTTTGGTACTGAACAATCTGGAAAAACTTGGGAATATAAAATGAAACAGCTTTAAATGTTTTAAATAATCAGAATGCTGCTACTGGCACTAGTAGTAAAGAATTACATGCCAAATAGAAGACACAGGCTCGATCCCTGGATTGGGAAGATGCCCTGGAGGAGGAAATGGCAATCCACTCCATTCGTGCCTGGGAAATCCTACTGACAGAGGGGCCTGGCAGGCCACAGTCCAGGGGTCACAAAGGAGTCGGACACAACTGAAGCAACTTAGCACACGCACACACATAGCAATATACTTAAAAACACAAACGGCATTCAGACATCCAGAGACTGGTTTTCTGGTTGCTTCTTTCTTTTTCCTCCTCTAGATTTTCTACCAATGACTTGTGCCTCCACCTGCTGGTGTCATGAGGAAATGAAATGGAAATAAAATCCAAGCAAGTAAATTGTTAATAAATACTCCCTGGGAATCTCTGATACAGGTTTGGAGGGAGGAATGGTTAAAATTAGTCTAAAATGAAACTTCTGAAGATGATCAGGTTAACCCATTCATCCTCTGTGTTAACGATTAAAAGTGAGGTGCAAAAACAAGCAAAAAATACCTTCACCAAACTTCTGATCTCCAACTGTCAACGTCTAATTTAATTATCCTACCATCACCCGCAAGTCATTCTATCAACACTCCCACTAAAAGTTTTACAAGAAAATGCAGCAGAGAGATGGAGTATGAACCAAATCATAAATCAGAACATCTCATTTAAAGTCAAAGAGAGAAACATCCTCAGGAATGTAAATCAGTCCTAAATCTTCAGCACACCCATAAAAGAAGTTTTTAAAGCCCTTTCTGAAAATACAGCAGAACATTAAAAGCCAGAGCCAAATTACCAGAGTTGGAAACCTAGCTCTACCCCTTATAGCTAGGTGGCCATGATCAAACTACTCCAATAAGACTTATCCTCAGTTTCCCCATGTGTGAAATGGGGTTAAATGACAGAATGTACTTCATAGCATTATTATGAGGATTAAGTGGATTAATGCTTGCAAGGCACCGAGAACAGTTTCTGGCACATAGTGAGTCTTATTTAAACGCTCGTAAACAACTAAAATGCAGCTGGTGCATATTGGTAAGAGGAAATGTGATTGCTATTACCGAGAAATGGTATCTTCTCAGATTGAGTGCATTGCCCTGATCACATTATTGTTTGCTAAAGCTACATGCTTGAGCTATCATGGATTCAGACAGCCTGCCTACTACCACATAGAGGAAACTGAGGTAAGGCAAGAATAAGCTGGTAATTTCCTAAATAGTGAATAAACAGTAGGAATTCTAGGAATTTGATTTTTTTTTTAAAAGGCTAATTTCCCATTAAATGATCCAGAAAGGTAAATTTACTGTAAAATCTTCAAGCTTTAAGATGACACAAAAATGTTCCATGAAATAAAGCAGTACAATGGAACTTGTAAAAACACCAACATTATTTTACCCTCACATAAAATGTGATAGTATCATATGAAATAGTCATACAGTTGCAATGTGCATTCTGGTTAAGTCACATCTTCATTCAACCATTCATTCAGTAAAAAAAAAAAAAAATTAGTATATATTTGATGCCAGTGTCTCAACATGGAACAGGGAACAAATAATAAACAAACAATGTAAAATATTATCATGCAGTGATAAATGCTATGAAGGAAAATGAAGCAGGGAAGAAAGCAACAGTGACAGTGGCTAGAGGCAACCTGCCATTAGGAAGACTCGTTTGAGAAGACGGATATTTGAGCAAAGAACTAAATGAAGGAAGAAAGCAAACAATATGGATATCTAGAGAAAGAGCTTACCAGGCAGAGGGAGCAGCAGAACTCTGAAATAGAGACATAGGTGGTCAGATCCAAAAAACAAGAAAGTCAATAAAAAGACTTAAATTATCAAGGGGGAGAGTGATGAGAAATCAGATGGGAGAAGCAACTGGGAGCCAGGTAATACGGAACTTTTGGGGCCAAGCGTGGCTTGTTTACAAATATGGTCCCAAAATTCTTTCGTAACTTTTCAATGTAGAGGTGGGGCCTCTGTCTCCTTCCTTTAAATCTGAATGGGCTTAAGATTGCTTAGACTGGTAGAATGTGATGGAAATGACTATGTTTTCTGAGGCTGGTTCAGAAAAAGAAGACGTGTCTTTGTCTTGTTTGGTGGAACATTCATGTCTGCAACCATTACCTTGCATGTGACTTTCCAAGGCTACCATGCTGTGAGAGAAATCAAGCCACATGTAAAGGGCATGTGGAAACCCTCTTCCCACCTCCAAGTCTGCAGTCCTAAACTTGTAGTCATTCTAGTTCACACGCTAGACACATGACTAAATACGCCTTCAGATGATTCCAGCTCCCAGCCATCACACCTTCTCAGCTAAGCCCTCAGACACAGGAGCAGACACAAACTATGTCTTGTCCAAAACAGCCCAGAGAATCCATAAGCCTAATAAAATGACTGTTGTAAACTGCCACATTTGGGACTAATTTGTGACCCAGCAGTCATAATGAGAAACCATGATAGGAATTTTAGACAAGTGAGAAATCTTTGGAGAGTCGATTAGCATGATCTGATTCATGAAGTAAGAGAATCACTCTAGTTTCTGTAGGGAAAGCAGTCTGTAAGAGGGCAAGCGTGGAGGCAGAGAGGCCAGTCTGGAGACTACTGCAGTCTTCCAAGCAAGAAATGTTAGTGTCCTAGGTAGGGCAGCAACAGTGAAGGCAGTAAGAAGGCCTTTGATTGACAATATATACAGTTTCAAAGTGATTCCAATAGGATTTGCTGCTAGATTGGAACTTGTGTGTGGGAAGATACAAATCAAGAATGACACAAAGGATTTTGACCAGAGCAAGCAACTAAGTGAATAGACATGTCATTTCCTGAGATACAAACATTAGAGGAAGAATGGGTTTGAAATCAAGGGGGTTCAGTTCTAAACAAGTGGCAAATGGAAACGAATGAGGAGGAAGCAAGTAGGTATATGAATTTGGAGGTCAGGAGTATAGCTGGTTCTGTGTTCAACTCTAAGTGCCTCATTTGAGGAAAGATACATACAAACTAGACAATATTCAGAAGGGGACAAGGATGCCAATATTTTTAAATGCCATATCATGTTTAAAAAAAAAATTGAAGGAACTAATGGTAGGGTAGGTAAAAATATCCATGATGGTGAAGAGGCACTTGAATAAATAGGACACAACATCAGGACTCATCTTCAAGAGTGCAGTATGTGCTTCAAGGGACTAAACATCTAGTGCTCACTTTTGTGGAGACTAATATGAAACACCTCAAAATTGACTATGCCTCTCCTTACAGAAGCTACCATTCCAGAACCAGATAGCATTACAGAGATTTTGACTTAAACACTACAGAAGATGAACTGAATAGCATCCGGTTGTGTTGGTGAAGAATTCTCTAACCAGAGCAAAGCTAGACAAAACCAATCCCCCCAAAAAATGAATAAATAAAATTAAAAAGGAGATATATATATATATATATATATATATATAGAGAGAGAGAGAGAGAGAGAGAGAGAGAGAGAGAGCGAGAGATACACACACACTCCATTTCCATATGTTACTAGTAAAGGACAAACTGGCCTATACAAAACTTATCTATTCATATCCTGTTCTTATCAGGAATACCCACATGGAGGAAGTTACCCTTAGTGCTGTGGCACTAAGTTATTTTAGCATTAATAATCACAACATTCTTGCTTTTCCAGCATTTTGATCCTTTGCATTGATAGAGGGAGTTTAGTAGGGTGAATAAGAGCAGGAAACCTAGAGCCAGGATTCCTGGCCTAAGATCTTAACTCCAACACTTGGGTGAGCTACTTAAACTTTCTATGCCTCCATTTCCTACCTCATTGGATTTATTATGGGGAATAAATAAGTCAATCTGTATGCAAGACAGGAAGCAACAGTTAGAACTGGACATGGAACAACAGACTGGTTCCAAATAGGGAAAGGAGTACATCAAGGCTGTATATTGTCACCCTGCTTATTTAACTTATATGCAGANTGCACTACAGATTCTTTACCAGCTGAACCACCAGGGAAGCCTTGAATTGCTAACAGGAAGACACCACTCAAACCCTGAAGGAAAGGACTCAAGCTGGACTCACAAGAAAATTTCCAGGGGCCAAACCAGTAGGAACAGACATGGCCTTCCAGGAACACGCGACCATCAGGGCTTCTCCTGCCCTCATCTGTGATGAACTTTTCCTCTCAAAGAAAATAATTAACAAACCCCGAAAAGTCAGCCATTTGCAGTCCTGAACCTGATCGGGCACTGAACCTTCACAAAGCTTCCAGGGTGAAAATCCACGAAAGGTTAACAATGGCAGTAATGACCTGGGGGCGAGCTACCCGGGCCCCTCCTGAGCTGAGGAGCTTAAAGACACCCCGCTGTCCCCGGCCTGGGAAATCTCTGCACACTCGCCCTCCCGGGCCTCTGAGGAAACGGAAAGCGGCGGTGTCTCCACGAAGCAGCTCAGGCCGAAGCCCCCAGAGTGACAGTCCCTGACCCTCTGCGACTTGGAGCGGCCTGGCCATTCACTGCTCGCGTGGCACCAGCTCCGGCCGCGCTCCCAAAGCTTCCTCCTCCGCGGCCAGGGTGGGACCAAGTCACGGTGACTAAGGCCACCAGGAGAAGGCCGCGGGGGCTGGCCGAAAGCCCGACCACGGCCATGGAGGGCTCAGGGAGCCGCTCTGCGCGCCCCTTCCCGGTTCGGCGGCGGCGCCGGCAGTAGCACCAGCACCATTTGCCCGCCAGGTGGCGCAGGAAGCGCGGGTACCGGGAGCACCGCGCGCGAGTGCCGCGGGGCCAGCCGACTTTCGTCCAGCGCCGCGACGACCGCCGTCATCGGACCGGCGGGCTGCGGGGACCGCCGGCGCTGCAGCGATAGCTCCCCGGGGCCGCCGTCGCTGCGGAGCCGGAGGTAAGTCAGCTGCGTGTCAAGGCCTTTGTCCGCGTCCCTAGCCTGCTGTCGGGTCGGCAGGGAGCCCAGGGACGCGTTCTAGGGCAGAGGCAGCAGGGCTGAGCCATCGACGAGTCGCGGGGTCACCAGCCCGGGCGCGCGCTCGTCCTGGCCCTGCATCTGCAGCCCCGCGGTGGCCGGGCCTCGCAGCAGCGGGGAGCCGCCGTCCAGCGCCTCCAACCCTAGCTGCAGGCTGGCCAGTTCCTCGAGGTTAAAACTCCGTCGTGCGCTCAGCCGCCCCGTGACGGGGTCCCCCTAGACGAAGGTGGCCACGGAGCCCCCAGCCCGGCCCACCTCGGCCTCCAGCAGCCGGTGGGTGACCTGGACGTTGCGGGTCCCTGGCGGTCACCGTGGCCAAGTAGGCCCCGGGCGGGTTGTTCTCGCGCACTGACACCTCATACATAGACCGGCCGCGTGAAGAGCGGCGCTTTGTCGTTCTCGTCGCCCACGCTCACCGTGTAGGGCCGCACGGTGCGCAGCGGGGGCGCGCCGCGGTCCTCGGCCACCAGCGTCAGGTTGTACTCGGAGATGCGCTCGCGGTCCAGGGACGCCGCGGTCACCACCAGGTAGCTGCCCGCGTAGGCCGGCTGCAGCCGGAAGTGCTCGTGCCCGTAGAGGGCGCAGCGCACCTGCCCGTTGGCGCCCGAGTCCCTGTCCGAGGTGCTGACCAGCGCCACCAGGCTCTCGCGCGCCGCCCCCTCCGGCACCAGCGAGACGGCGCTCGCCTCCGGCGTCCCAGGCCCGGTCGACGAGGTCGCCTCCGCCCCGCCAAGAGCGGCGGCGGCGGCGGCGAAGGACGAAGCAGCAGGCGCGCCCGGGGCGGCCAGGGGGGTGATGGAGATGTCCGGAGCGTTGTCACTGACATCGCGGAGGCGCACGATGACCTTGCAGGTGGTGGCGCGGGGCTCGGGGCCGCGGTCCTGCGCCGGCACGTCCAGTTCATAAGTGTCCTGGCGCTCGTAGTCCACGGGCCCCGCTAGGGTGAGGCGGCCGGAGAGCGGGTCCAGGCGGAAGAGGCGGAGCGCCTCGGGCGGGGTGCGGGCCCCGAAGGCGAACACCACGTCGCCGTTGGGGCCCTCGTCGGGGTCCGCCGCGTCCAGGTCTAGCAGGAGCGAGCCCACGGGCGCGTCCTCCGCCAGCTCCACTTCTGCCACGGCGCCCTGCGGGAAGGCCGGGCTGTGATCGTTGGCGTCCAGCACGCGCACGCTGAGGGCGGCCGTGGCGGAGCGCGGCGGATGGCCGCCGTCCTGGGCCACCAGCCCCAGGCTGTAGGTGGCCTGGCTCTCGCGGTCCAGCTCCTGCAGCAGCACCAAGTCGGCGCACTGGGCACCGTCCGCGCGCGTCTGCAGCTCCACGCGGAAGGGGCTGTGGGGTTCTGCCAGGCGCACGCTTTGCAGCCCGTTGGCGCCCACGTCCTCGTCCACGGGCACCTCCAGGGGGATGCGCGTGCCCACTGCAGCACCCTCGGACACCTCCACGGGAATCTGGGCCCGGGGGAAGCGCGGCGCATGGTCATTGATGTCCCTCACTTCCACCTCCACGTGCACCAGCCGGAACTGCTCCTGGGAGAAGCTGACCACGTCGAAGGCCAGCACGCACTGAGGGGCCTGGCCGCACAGCCGCTCTCGGTCCAGGCCCGTGTCCCCGACGGACAGCCTGTCGCCCTAGCACAGCGAGCTTAATCAGGCGGAACCGGCCCGGTACCTAGCGCTGGGAATTAAACAGGACGTGGTCACACAGAACACTGATGAAGGTGCTGGGGGCTTCTTCCTCACAGGTGTAGAAATTCACAGTTTCAGTTCAATACCCTGACACCACCAGCAGCCACAGAAGCAGCAGGGACTCCAGTCCACTCCTGAGTGAAGTGTCAGCGGGGAATCTGAGCCTGCAGTGAGACATTCTGGGCCTCACCCGCCCTCCTGAGCGCACAGTCAGGAGACACTTGCCCTCTCAAATACTTCTGATCACTAAACCCTCTCTGCTGTGTAATCGCCTTTTTCTGCCCTGGGCCCAAGCATGCTTCTTCTGAACCCTACCAGGGAGGCTGCCTAGAGAAAAATATGCAAATAAGCCTCCACCGGAGCTAATCCACAGTCTCCTGGCCTCTGGGTCTTGTTCCCTTGAAAGAGCTCGCAGGAGGGCCTGGAGGGCTGAACAGTGGCCAGGGCAGTGCAGTAGGTCGTTGAGATTCCTCCAGAAGTTTACACTATAAAAATGCACCCCGCTTGCTCTGCTAGTGTGCCGGAGTCTCACTTTGACAGCCGCAGCGGGGGAGCCGCAGCCTCTTTATTCCTTCCTGAGCACGCATAGTCGTGGGACAGAGGCACAGTTTCTATTCTGCTTCACAACTTTGAAACAAACGCATATATGTATCCTTGGCCACCCATGGTTATCCGTCTATACTGGGTTATCATTTCCTGTATTGAGAGATTGTAGGGGAACAGTTTCTTCAGAACCGGGCAGTGTCTAATCAGAAAAGCATGGTTTTCCAGAGTAATCATTTCTGAATAGCTTCTCCCTAGCCAAGAAACCATTAATGGCGAAATTTCCACCCCTTCCTCTCCTTTTATGTCAGTAATTGCTTATACATGAAGACTCAGTGTCAGTCAGGGAGGTTTGTCAACGACAAACCAATGTAAGGGATGGTTAAGGGTAAGAAAAAGATTTAAGGAAATATATTGCAGTCAGTCTTGTTAGAAAATTGCTATAGACCAATTATTTTTAAAAAGCCCTTGGCTGAAGAAAACCATGGGTGGTCTGCTAGGCTGAGGGCTAAAGAAACATTAAACCATCTGTCTAAAGCACAACAGGCCTGTGTGAGGTTCCCTTTATGTGTGAAGTGTTCTAAATGCTAAACAGCCCCACATGGTAATGATGACATTGTTCCTCGTGCCATGGAGCTGTCATCAAGGCAGAGTGTTCTTTAACCAGTCATCTCGAATAAAATCAGTGAGCAGGCTGAGTTATTAATATGCCCAGGCTATTCTTGGCTCCTACATGTTCTGTAATGTTATTGATTCCTGCAGAGACATGTCAGTAAATGACTTTTTTTTTTTCTATCACTCTTAAGAAGGAGTTGCACTTATCTCAGCACCAGGATCCCTGAACCCAGTTCTGAAACTGAGCCACCTTTGATGAGATAATTAATTTCCAGGGGTTTTAATTTAGTGGAGCATTTGGCAATGAGTCTAATTACAAGTACCAGCAACCGATAGAGAAGTACAGCGGGGAGCATGGGTTGATTTTTGTCGGGTACTCTGAGATTCTGAAAAGAGAAAGAGCTTCATTTTGTTTAGTTTTTTATAGTTTTATTTTTTTGTTGCAGTATAGTTGGTTTACAGTGTTGTGCCAATCTCTGCTGTTATAAAGTGACTGTTATACACATATAGGTATTTTGAAAATATATTTTTTACATTACGGTTTATCATGAGATACTGAATCTAGAAGGACTGGGAGTTTGGGATTAGCAGAAGTAAACTATTGTACATATAATGGATAGGCAACAAGATAGTACTGTACTTTGGTTTTTTTTTAAGCTTTATTTTTTTTCATTTATTTTTATTAGTTGGAGGCTAATTACTTTACAATATTGTAGTGATTTTTGCCATACATTGACATGAATCAGCCATGGATTTACATGTGTTCCCTATCCCAATCCCCCCTCCCACCTACCTCCCCATTCCATCCCTCAAGATCATACTGTACTTTGGATTTTTTAAAGTTTGCTTTTTAAAATTCAGATGAGGCATTCATCTGAAGAAGGATACAACCACCTTTCAGTTTAGTGAGACTAGATTTCTTGTAAGCCAGTCAGTATCTTCAATGGTATTAGGACAGTGTGCTTTCTATCTTAGAACTGGGTATTTCAGTGAAGCATCTGGTTATTCTGCCTTTGGGTCTTGAGGAAAACAAGAGGACCTGATCTCTTTACCCAACTTCTTAATTCCTAGATGCACCTTACTGGAAGACTGAAAACCGATTCAACCCATGCCTTTTAAAAGGCACGTGCTTCCATGCACTTTCGCCAGGAGAGGGACCCATTTAACCACAGTCCAAGTCTTTCACACAGTCCCTGCCAGGCCTGGCTCTTGAGAGTCTTCAGCATTATTGTTGCCACTCACGATCAGAAAAACCGCTCAGCATCCTGAAAATGCAGAATAGTCCATGACTCTATCTACCGAATGTCAAAAGACCCAGATAAAATATTTTAGAAGGCAGGCAATCATACACATTACCTCCACAATACTAAACATCTGGCCACTTAATGTTTGAAAACATCTAGCTATCATGCTTAAATGCTTGATTGCATTTTCCCCACTTTTCCTCCAGCTGTTTGGCAGCAAGGAGAAAATCTATAAGAAATGTGCTATATTGTCAGTGATTCATTATTAGTGTTAGCTTCACTTCCTAGTAAACAACCACCTTATTAAAACACTGCTTCATGAATGAAGGACAGCTGGAGTTTCGAGAAAGAGACATTTTCTGAGGCAAAAATCAGTTCTGTGCCCATAGAGTGACACGCTGAATAACACAGAAACTCTATGATCTGTACCCCTAGGGATGTGTCATCCGGAAGCAGTGTTTACAGCCTTGAGCTCCATGGTACTCTCACATTCCGTTCTGTTGACTGTTAGATGAAAATCTGTCTCAATATTAAAAAGCATCATGACAGAAATTTGCTTTATGTTGCTTGTTTTCCCATTTGCCAGCATATTGCCAGACTCTAAGTCCATAAAATGTAGTTTTGATCTCTACTGGGGGCAAACGTGGATCAAAGTAAGCAGTGGGACCAAGGGGACGACCGCCACCACAGGAAGACCAAAATGTGAATAAAGCGGTAACTTGGTCCTCTCGCTCAGTTTGGTTTTAAAAGGGGTGAAGGGGGAGGATTTGGGTGGACCCCCTACTGTGTTCACTTTTGTTCCTGAAACAAAAGCACCAGACAGACTAGAGTTCCGCCCCCACCACCAAATGCCAGGAAACCAGATCAGTAAAACAGGATTTGAATTCCAATCATCTTAATAAAAGATTTTCTTTTTGGCTGAACAGGTAACACTGGTATCCCTTGTACACTAAGACATGCTATATGTAAGCTCAGGTCACTTTCACCATAAACATGGGGGGAAGACTGCCCCTAATTCAAATCAGTACCTGGGCTTCGGCAGAATTTTGCCCATTTCCCTTTTACTATTACACAAATCCAATGACATATGTTTAAGAGGAGAGTTCCTAATATGAATATTTGGCTAGATCAAGGTGTCTACACGTCAGAAAAAGCATCAACTTTTATAGAACCTTTCACGAACACTTCTGTGGCCCAGAAACAGTTTTCATACCATTTAGAACAAATCACTCTGTGTACTACACTGAGACCCATTTTCATTTCTCAACTGAACAAACATTCTGGAGATGAATGAGCAAAACATTATCAAGTGCAATGTTTCTATCTTCAAGGAGCAACTTCTAGAAATTGAAGCTATGAAGACTGTTGGAGAGAAAACAAATCAACCTAACAGCTGGGTTTTTTTTTTTCCTCCTGTTTTTAAAATCATACCTTGAAAAAACTAGTCATTCTTCAGCAGAAGAATGAGCCCCCCAGATTGAGAGTAACTGTTCTAAGTGCTCTCAGAAGAGGATTCATTATCTCCCATTCCTGTTACCCCACTGCATAATCAGTTTGTTATTAGGTCTTAACTGCACAGTCATTTATAAGAAAAGTTATCAGCAAATTGCTGGTCCTTTTTGGAAAATGATTTTCGGGAAAATAATTCAGCCCTGAATTCAGCCAAAATGCTGTCCTCAAGCATAGCCTGAAAACAAATGCTATTTATCAACTTTTTAAGTACTTTAACCTAGAGAAAATCACAGGGCAACACTGTAGGATAGCAACACTGATCACAAACTCCCCTCAACATAAAAGACCGAATGACGTAATCTTCACTTAGAGAAAAGTTTCCTGTAGGATCGTTATGTTAATAATGATATTATCAAAATTACATAATCTTAAAAGAGTGGATAAAACTAGTTTTTAAATTGCTGATTTTATTAGTCTGATTCTATGAGGAAACTAGGGCTTTGTTGGTGGCTCAGAGGTAAAGAAATCGCCTGCCAATGTGGGAGACAAGGGTTGTATCCCTGGGTCAGGAGGATCCCTTGGGGAAGGAAATGACAACCCACTCCAATATTCTTGCCTGGAGATTTCCATGGGCAGAGAAGCCTGGCAGGCCACAGTTCATGGGATCACAAGTCACCACGACTTAACGACTAAACAACAACAACGTGAAGGAAATTAAGTCAATGAATAATGAAAAATTGTTTACCTTTTGGGTTCAGGGATACCTTAATCCCCAAATGAGCCAGAGAAATTGACTTTGGTACTTGACTTTGGTCACTGGCTCAAGGCCATACTTTGCATTCTTACCACCCTACAGGAAGGAAAACCGCCTCCTACTCAGCAGTGTTGCAAAGCAAGAGAATAAAAGAATATGGATTGAGAAGCAACTTTTTATCTGTCTTATTTTAACTTCATCTCTCTTCCTCTTACCGAAATCTTTCTATTCCTACCCTGTAATAAAACCTATGACCACCAGTAGTCAGAACACTTTGAGGTCCTTTATCAGCAGATATTTGATCAAGTCTCAGTGACACAATAAAGCGCACAGTC